CAGAGGGGGGACACAGCAAAAATTGTTACTTGGATGCTTCAGTTCCTATAAATTTGACTTTTTCAATTTCGTTTGTGGAGTACACAGTAAACTATTTTGGTTTTTTTCATAGCAATTTTTGCTCTGTACCCCCCCACCCCCCCCCCCCCCCCCCCTTGATAAGAACTTAAAAAGCTATTTTGCAGAATCGGAATAAATATAAAGATGAAAATGTTGATAGTTTCAGAAAAAGAACTTAAAGTCGTTGGTTCGAATCCTAGAAAACGAGAAAGTTCAGCCAAGCGTGCGGAACTGATGAAATGATCAAAAATCATCAAAAATGTAATTTATCAGTTCCTTACCTTTGAGTTAAATGAGAGCACCTTATTCCATTCAAATTTTATATTCTATACCAAATATAGCTTGACAATATCAAATAATGCCTCAGGTTGAGAACTCCCTACCCTCATCAGAATTAAATGCCTCATTGATGATTACTCAAAAGTTCCGATGAAAGATTAAACGGAAATAGTTCTTTAGAAAAAATAAATAAATGCTTGTAGAACTTCAATTCTTAATTGTAACTGGAGGCAATGTGTGTGTCAGTTTTTTTTATTGAAAAGTCATGCATGAGCATCAATTAGCGTTATTATCACATTAATTAAAACTTTATTTAATGCCAATCTGTCGTATTTAAGTGATAACTGAATGTTTGTAGAATTAATATGCGAAGGTTGAGTTCGAGGAATTTTTCATCACGAGATCGTAATATGCATAATGAGAATCGAGAGGAAGTGAATTATGGGGAAAATATTGTGGGTGTCCAAACCTTGCACACCTCTGTTGAAAATATTTTCTACCTCATTTTATCTCATTAAATTAAATTTCATTCATTTATTTCACATTTGTACCGGTTCAACTACGTACTTAGGCTTACTTAAAACGCCATTCTTAAATATGCCTCAAAGCGGCAGCAAGTAACAACAAGATAATTTATACGATTTTTTCTCTCTTTTTCTCGTAAAAAAAACACCACAAGTAACCTTTTGAATGACGTTGAAAATGTAACAAATTCTAAGCTACAATAATCGTATAAGTAAGCAATACATGATTTACAGATCAGCATCGGTATTTCCCGCTTAGTCTCATACTGTTTCTCTTTCTTTCGCAAGACTCTCCATTACGATGGCTTATTTCTCGCAGGGATCATCCGTTGGTTCCGTTTAATGTATACACAAAGATTAGGGATGGGAGTCTGAAGTCACTTAATGCTCAAATGTTAGATATCCAAAAAATCCCAGGCATAGATATTAATCAAAACGAAAAAGGTGCAGACCCCCCCCCCCCCCCCCCTTCAATGCTAAAATTTGTAAGAAAACTCCTTTCGAAATTTCTGGCTTCATTTTAAGCGCCAGAACAAAGAATTTCAAAAATCCGACGGACATCATTTATGAACAGACCCCACCCTCACTTTACGGACCTGCCATTTATTCACTTTGTACTTTAATGCCTTAAATTGCCTCAATATTCCATTTAATTACATTTTTCTTACTTGACTGAAATCTAAATTTACATCGTGACTCAGTCCTTATTGGTATGAAATATCGATTGATTTCCTGAACTGCAAAGTGCGGTTTTCCTTTTGTTAAAGTCTTTTGGATGTTCGTAAGTGACGTCTCTTCTTCAGTCCGAGATTTTTAAGCATTTAATGAGCTGTGTAGACTATTTAAAGTTCTATAAATTCATAATCATGCTGGTCGTCACTTATGATCACCCCCTAAATACATGCTCTGGGTATCTCTTTGTAACTTAATCTTATTAAAGATTATTATCATTAAATGTGGATAATAAGCATTTTCAGAGTTCTCATTTCATACATAAAAAATTATTATGATCTATATTGTGCTTGTTGTGTGGCTCTAAGATCCAAACAATAAATGTTTATAGCTTCATGAAACAAAAAAGATTATTTTGAAGGTGGGAAGTCCAAAGTTTTCCGAAATAAATAATCCATTGAATTTTTGCATTGTTTAATTAATTTTTTCATCGTAATGCTGTTTAATTCTAGACAAACAAAAAATGGAATGACTTAATAATTGTTACTAAATTAGACTTTACAAAAAAAAAAATTGCAGAAATTAATTCTTGTGTGCTTTGCTTAAGAATTTATTTCCTCCTGAAAATGGACAGAAAAAGAATTTGTAACACAAATGCGGTATGAATTTTATTGGGCATGGAATCAAGGTCTTTGGATATAAAAAATTGTCAACTCATTTGCTGACGTATAGTCATTGTCTTAAGCATTTGAACCGTGCATTTTGATACGCAGAAATGAAGAAGATTTGGTGACTTTGAGACTAATTTTTAAGAAAGATGCAAATTAATTGCAGACGAAGCCAGTGTATATTAGGGATCGTTCATAAATTATGGCCAAACTTGTTGAGCTGTTTAGCACATTCATAAAATAAAATCATTTGAGAATTTTTTGAGGGAGGGGGAAGTAGCGAGGTTAAGACATCCTGTTTCTTGATAGACATCACTTTTAAACGACCCTCATAAGCCTTGTTACGATCAAAGCTTTTAATACTTAACTTTACATTGTCTAGACTCATGACTCTAAACATTTCAATTAAGCATCAATTAGTCCGAAAATCACATCCTATTCTTCAATCACCAAACCTTTACACGATCATATGATCACGATGCTTTTGAACCTGTAAACTTCAATTAAGAAATAACCAATACTTTACCTCAACTGCCCTGCCTTAATATCAGCGAATGCACACCTTGTAAATTTTTTTAAAAATCTTCATCAGTTTATTGTATCTAAAACTTCTAATATTGATGCCTTCAATAAATAAATAAATATACAATATGCTACATATAATGGAGAATCGTTCATAAATGATGGTAAAGGAAAATATGAATTTCTAGCTTCGTGCCTTGGATCAAGGCTTAGAAAAATCTGAATGGCTTTAAAATGTTGTTTAAAATTATCAAGAGTCATAGAAATCTCATGGCTATGCTAATGGAACATCTTTTAACTTTAAAACCTTCACATCATTTATAAACAGCCCCTTTGAGGAATTCAAAATTCATTGTAAATAAATAATGGACTGATTTATAGATAAACAGCTAAATAAGTTGATCATTCTATTGTATTCTCTTGACCATTAATGGGATCATCTCATTTACTCAATTTTGGATATAAAGTCAATTGTCTGAATTTATAAATAGTATCAACTTTCTAGATTGATCCCGGATTTTCCAAATAAATCACAGCTCACCCTATAAATAGAATTTTCTCACCTACAAAACTATTTTTGTTATAAAAGGAACTAACATGATTAATTTTTGTTCATCAACCATAATGAGCATAACTGAAATTGATACCGATATATGGGTCATGACTGACAATGGTTATTACAACCATAGCAGATATCAAACATCAACGAATACAAAATTCCATCGATCTTAATCGCGCGGGGAAAAGTGATAAATTTAAAGCAAAAAGATTTCGACGATTGTCAAAAATTTAGAAAGCTTCAGACATGTAAAAATGATTTATGTCCATGAATTCGTTCTCTTCGTTGAAAACCATAGCAAATTAGAAGGTGATTTTTCTGTATGCCATTATTGTAATCAATAAAAAAAAAGGCACAAAAATTCTGTGAATTGAATTCATAATAATTACAGTTATATAGCAATCGTGACGAGTTCTCTTCTTGTACAATTTTTTATACTTTAGTTATTTTATTTTTTATTTTTTTTTCTTCCTACATTTCAACATATTTTATTTATTTATATTATTTTATTTTATTTTTCTGTTTTTTTGATTTCATATTAAAGTTTAATTGCTATATAGGTTTTTTGCTAAATGATTTCCTAGTATTGACAATATCTACCTCTTCTAATCTCATCGGATGCATTTGGATGTTTCCAAATGGTTTACATTCGATACCCGTACGAAAGAAGTTAAGAGATTTTTTTAAAGAAGGTCAGTGGATCTTGGTTGGGGTGATTTGAGCGCATTTACAAGATTTTGAGTTGAGGATTACATTTCTAACTGATGTTCTTAGCATTCTTTTATGAAATAAATCAAAATCGTTATGAATCGAACTTTTGCGTCCAAAACAAAATGATCTTCTCTTTATGCCGAGCGTTTATGAGCTTTATTCATGATGTGGTTCCAATAAACAGTTAATCTTAGCATAGTTTTGGGGCCGTTCACTTATGACGTCCGAAATTAACGGTAATTTTTCAAAAAAAAACAAAATTTTTGTAGTTCTTTTATTTGCTTACCCCCCCCCCCCCCCCCCCCCCCCCCCCTACGCACCCTCTAGATGTCATAAGTGAACGGCCCTGTTTTAACATTCATTAATCTGGCAATCCTGTTCATAATCTGTATGACAAAAGAAGAGCACCTGACTCTGACCACAGCACTGATAATCATCTGTTGTAAATTATAAACAAAATGACTATCAAACCAATTCTATACTCCAAAATAAGAGCTATTAAAACACATAAAATTGCTTTTTGAATTTAGTCGGATTCATTCCTTTATCGAAAGGTTAAGTTATGTATAATATTTACCTCTAATCGCTTATTTCACTCGAAGTCAATTGGAAAGTATGCACTGCATTTGATATCGGTCCATAATGAAATGAAAATAAATTAAGTGCAATTAAAGGAATAAGAAAAAAAAAATTATATTCAATGTGAGAGACATAAAAAATTAATTTAATTCCAATTAAAATTGTCCTACTACTCATTTGCTATAATCTAAAGCTTCTAGCTGAGCAAAAGTCAATTCACGTTCCTCTCATTGAAACATTTTCTTCACCATTATAAGCATAAATCTCATTTTTTTGCTGTGCATAACATTTCATTCAAGAAAAAAAAAACTACACATTGATTACGGTCCGTAGTACGATGTGAATGTCGTCGGAGAGGTTATCTCTGTCACATATGACACATTCTCTCAGTCAAGTGCGACAGTTTGCTTTTAGAATTTAATAAGAATGAACGCAATAAATTTTAGTTTAAAAACTTTAACATTATTTTTAATTTTTTTGCAAATTCGCGCCATTATTTTGCCATGTGATTTTAGTTTTGATAAAAAGTATGGATATACGTGTCGTGTCGGTGACATTAATATAACAAAAAGTCATGTGAAAATTAAAAGAATTGGTGGAAATCATGAAGAAGAAAGAAAATTATTCAATCGGACTGACACAGATGTCTTGCGCGTGATAATGTTCAATCGTACTATAAACTTTCTACCTGTTAACATAACACATTACTTTCCATATTTGAGAACATTGCAGGTGAAAAAATGCGGATTGCAACGACTCACTCGAGCTCCAGATTTGAGATTTACATTACGTCGAATGTATTTCGGATTTAATGAGATTAAGAATATTCCTGAGAAATACTTTTGGCATTTCTGTCGATTAGAAACATTGTCGCTGCATGGAAATCAGATTTCAAACATACCGCGCATGGCATTTCGTGACTTGATCAGTCTCAAGCGCTTGTCACTCAACAATAATCATCTTAAGTCAATCGATTCAGTCTTATTTACAAACTGTCTTAATTTGGAATATGTTGACCTTGAAAATAACTCATTGCAGTATATTGAGAGCAAATTATTTTCAAATCAGCCAAGGCTAAATAAACTTTTAATGCGAAATAATCAGATAGGAGCAATTGAGAGTGGATTTTTGTCAAGATTAAAGTATAATGAAACTGGTTTTAATGCCTTGTTGGGAGGTAACAGGTGCATAGATAATTTTACATTTCCTCGTGATGGAAATTATGAGGATTTATATAGGCTTTTTGTGAATAATTGTTCACCACCACAAGCTAGAGTGGAATCTACGACACCAAAGACAACTGCTAAGCCAAAAAAGAAACCAAAGTATAGAACACCTGATATGATTTTCTTTGAGAATTGCACGTGGAATATTCATAAAGATTATGCTCATCATTTTAAGCATGGCTTTTAGACTGACTTAGTATTTTTATTTAGTTTATAATTTTTTGCTTATTTTAAAATATTGTTTGAAAATTTTTTAAGTCTCAATTTTCAATTTCATAATTTTTCTCTATTTTTAAAGATATTTTGCTTTTTACATTTTTCAATTTTCAATTTTCAATTTGCAATTTTTCAAATTTCAATTTTCAATTTTCAATTTTTCAAACATCAATAATTTTTTTTTAAATTTTGAATATTTTTTTAAAAAATTCAATTTCAAAATTGTTTAAGTTTTGATTTTTGAATTCCATTCTGTTCAATTCTGAATTTTATTATTTCAAAATTTATTTAAATCATAATTTTTAAAGTTTTCAAACTTTTATTTTTCACCTTTTTCTGACTTCAACTTTTAAACTATTTTATTTCGAATTATTTTTTATATTTTGATTTTAAATTCTAATTTTACTTTGTTTAATTTTACTAATGTTGATTTTATAATTTTAAATGTATAATAATGTAAATATTTTTTCTAAAATTTTTACATCCAAAAAATATTTTTAATTTATTCCTAGAAAAATGTATATTTATGTCTGTAGAAAAATTTAAATCCATGTAAATTAATAAATTGTTTGTATATATTTACTTACTTCCATAACAATACAACATTATTAAAGCCTCTTTAAATGGTACTAAGCAGCTGCTATTATTGTATGAATTGGTTAAAATATCTTTGAGAATTTTTTTTTAATTGTACAAAACTGATTTAAGTATTTCACATTTATTCATTGACTCATGACTTAGTCAAGTAAATAAAAAATTTCTTTTCTTTTTTCATTTCCATATCTATGCTTAAAGCTCTTTTTTTCGATTGTTATCTCTGCATTCATTTATTTTGTGGGATTAAAATTCAACAATGGTAGATGAAAGAGTAAAAGTGATACTTGATATGTATTTGATACTTTGAGAGTTTGTGACGCATTTTTGAATTTTTATTATAATATCAAATTAAGTCAAGCACACGACTCTGTTCAGAAGTTTTGAAGAATGCTTGACCTTGGAGATTTACAGAAAAAGGAACAATATTTTGCTTATCAAATTTACACAAAATTTTAAAATGCTGATTGTAGTACTACACTTTTGATAATCGACTCGGTCAGTGCTGGCCAACCCATGTTCCTTGGAATAATTCGGGAAATCCCATGGTCATGGCTTGCCATCAAGGTGTGTCGTGGCACAAAAAAGGTTGGTCACCACTGGACCAGGTCATGGTCAAGTCGAAATATTCTGTAGTCTTGGTATCGAAACTTATATATAAGCCAATCTGTTCATCTGAGGGTTAGGCATCTGTGAAAAACAAAAGATTGACTTTAGTAACTTCACGTAAAGAGATTGGTTCGATTCCTAACAAAAGCTGGCTTTTCAATCTTTACAGAGAGCTAGTAGTAAGGTGAACTTGACTTCCAAATTCTTCTCGTGTTACTTTAAATTGAACTTGAGTAACCCTAATATTTAAAGCATTATTTTATTATTTAATTTTTACAACCCTACATTGAACTTGTAACTCTAATAAAAAAAATTAATTACAAATCACGTCCGTAAACAGCTGATAAGTGCTATATCTCATTAATGTGTTTCTAATCTATAACTCATTCCATAGTAATGTGAAATTAAAGAAAAATATTCACGAGAAGTATCATCTTGTAAAAAATTATAAACATCAACATTCCATTACAACTTAATAATCACCTTGTATGACATGACGGACAAAAAGTCATGCGTTATTCTTAAACACAATCTTGACGACTTGTGTAATAGATTCAAGATAATGAGAAGAAGAGAATGTAGATAAAAGGAAAAACTGAAAATTAACGTTGAGTCACTTAATTTGTCTTCATTTATCCCCTATTTAATTAGGCATGCGCACAAAACAACAGCGACATATAAAACAAAGACGTTTTTTTTTTCTTTATTTTAATTGAATGCGAAATTTTTTTCCCATCTATTTGGGCTTGACAAATTAATTTCACAAAATTAATGAGATAAAGTAAAATTCAAAAAACAGAGAATGAAAAATAAATGTATAAAAAATTTGGGGGTTGTTCATGAGTGATGTCTATTGAAAAATAGAGGTTTGAACAGCCTAGGTTGGGATAACAGATGATCGATCAGAATATGCAAGCAAGTCTTTAATCATACTCAACTCTGAACTCTTTTCCTCCCTCTATGGACGGAGAACAAAATCAGATAAAAAAAAATATTAGTAAACTTGAGTGATCTGGTTTTGAACCCATTCTTATATAAAGCCTGTCTTACTTTTTATAATGCTGTTGCCTAACGACTCAGCCATAGTACCTCTATTCTCACATTGGTACTCAATACTCGATATCCTAGATTACAATGTGCCCCGCACCACACTAGACAGCATTTACACCGGAATTTACACCGGAGGTACAATGAGTCAATTAATTTACATAGAATGGGAGAAAATTTCTTCATACAATTTGCACCGTTGCTCAGTAGTCCATCGCATAATGACCCAATTGCATAGATTTGCAATGAGAATCGTTGTTTGGATGATGTAGAAGAAGCAAAAAAAAAATACTAAGCAAGAATTTATTTTCCTTGGCATGCATTTTATTCAATTCTTCGCTCTTAACTGTGATATAGTTGTTGTTCGACGTGATGTTGTTGCCAATGGGTATAAAAATGGTGAGGCGGCAAAGTTTAAGAGCAAGTAAAAGTCTACGATTTCAATATATTTATTTTTTTTTCTGCAGTTCGATCTAGATTAGCATAAAATGTATGCTTACCATGCAATGTGTGCTTATGAAGCGCAAAACAACAAATTGAAAAATGAAATGCTATTGAGGCACAGAAAATTCAGTGAACTTCATTTCTCTTCTTTCTTTCTTTTCAATATTATTTTTATTTTTTTTGTAAAGCATAGCTCTACATAAGAATTTACTCTGGGCCATTTGTCATCACGATGATACTTTTCCGCCTGTATAAACATAATAAAATCATTGCTTTTTCCTATAAAATGGTACATGAATGGCTTATCTAGACGACAATCTATTGATTCTTATTCATAAATATTTTTTTTTCATGCACAATATATGACTCTATATGCTCAAGTTACAAGTGAAAGGGCTCTATTGACCGTGATGCATTTTAGATTTTTAGATGTTTCTGGATTTATACGATTATTTATGCATAAGATGGGCTTGATATTGAGAATTTTTGAGGTCATGGATGCTTTAGGATTCGAATGATAGTGTTGTTTTAGGTATTTCGAGGTGCTTTGGATCAGGAATAAGTAGATAGCTCGAATAGCACAAGGCAGTTAATCGAATAGAAATCCAGCACCTAGCTGACACGGTGCTGGATTCGATTTGAGTCGAGCATCATGCCAAGATTTTGCCAGATTTTTATTCGATTAACTGACTTGTGCATTCAAATAGCATACAAAAGGTCTGATTTAAGTGCATGAGAGTCACTATGGGTTCTAAGACTTTTGGAGCTTTAATTCGTCCTATACCCTAATATTAAAATATAATTTATAACACTCTGGTGCAAAAATAAGATTTCTTTGCAACTAGATTATACCTGATGAAGCTTTAGGATTCGGCATTAGTATCTCAGGAGTCGCATCCAAAAATCTATCTCTTTTAATACTACGATAAACATAACCATTGAATACAAAGTTACTATCAATTAATTGAGACACTTAGAATTGTGAATAAAGATTCGGAATCCTGAAGTTCTAGGCTACCGAAATTTTGCCAAATCATTTTTTTTGATGTCAAATTAAAATAATCTCTAAACTTTTACTTCTAAAAAAAAGTTTTTCAATAGAAAAAAAGCCACAAAAGTACGAGAGAGAGTGGATTCATATGTAAAGGAAATGTTAAAGTTTTCAATGGATGACTTTACTGTTGTTATCATGAAATATTAGTTTTTGATCTTTACTTTTTGCATTGTTTGTGCACAAAAAAAATGAAGCAAAATTTGTTATTTATGACCCACATTTTTCATTCTTTTATTTCTTCTTTTTTCCATAAAGATTCAAAAATGTTTTAATCGCTAACAATTTGTAACATAAAGATTCATCGAAACGGAACAAAACAAAAAAACTTCTTTTTGCAACAACTTGAAGGTAAACTCTCGCTTAAAAATAAATAAAACAGAAAATATGAAGAGCCTTGAGCGATCAGCACGTAAAGTCAGAAAAGGACATTACATTGCAACACATAACAGTCCATCACCGCCTTATGGATCAACAAATCGAGCATATTTTTCTGATGGTGATGACAGTCGAGCACCATCAGAACGAACTTTATCAGAATATACAATCACAAATGAGAGAACTTCACCGCCTAAACCACCATCAAGGAAGTCTCGAACGATGGAACGATCAGCAAAAAATGGAATTAGTCATAATGGAATCTATTCAGAAGGTCCACGATCACTTTCTAGTCCTCCAACGCGTCAACCGCCACGCGCACCATCAGCATTAAGCTATGATCATGGTGGTGAGACAGGAGATATTTATGTGACAAGTGCAGCATATAAGACGCCTTCAGAAATAAGTCGTTACTCGATGCCGCATCGGACACATTATACTAAGCCACAGAGTGTATATTCAGTTGCAAGTAGTCGTAAAAGTAATCGTACGGGACGAAGTCACACATCAAGACGAATGGGAGCAAAGGTTGAAGCAATGTCTGCTCCAAATCCCTTCTGTCCAAATTTACGAGGAGTTTGTTGTCTCATGTTACTCATCAATCTTGGACTTATTCTTATCACGCTTGGCTTCGTCATTGTCATTCAGTTTGTTGAGCCTCTCTTTGTTTGGTAAGTTTAGTTCCTACATTCTTTTATCTCACAATAAATTTCATTTCGCATTCTGAATTTTTAATATTAAATTCTTCCGTATCGTCTACAACAGGATTCTTGGAATAGTCTTCCTCATATTTGGCTTCGCAACACTCATCGGCTCGATGATTTATTGTGTGATTGTATGCAGAGATGTTAAGACGCCTTCGCAACTTAAAAATGAAGACTTGTATTGGACAAAGCATTGGCAGAAGAACATTGGCTACACGCCTCACGAGATTGACTATAAAACCGATCCAGACGGTTATTCAGTCAGTAAAATAAGTGGAAAATATTCCGATCGAGGTAGTTCTAGGTATTAAATAAAAGTAATTAATCAAATTTCACATTTCATAGACTAAATTGCCATAAATTAGACATACTTTTTGATACTTTGTGAAGATTATTGGATTTTATTAAGATAAATATTATATTTTCTCTGAAATTCTTTCGCCTTGTATATCTGTGACAAAATAACTTTTACTTTTAATTTATTAACGTACCTGAACAGTCAAACTTTTACATGCAGTTGAAAATAAAATAAATAAATGATGAAACTAAAATTTATTATGCATACAAAGTTGCGTTGTGTTTTAGTCTTGTAATTTCCTTTTCAGTGAAACATGATGAGTACTGTCTGATATTGTACATTGGCTCCAAAAAGGATTGAAATAGTAAGGTAATTAAAAGGTAATGTTTATTGATGACAGTGAAGATAAATCAACTATGTCCTGGTTTATGGAATGGAATTTTATGTAGCTTGTACTATGGCAAAATTGATACAATGTAGGATGGTCATATGATTAGCTTTTCATAGATTCATAGATTTTATCTTCATATTACTGCTTTAAAGACTAATGAGCTTTCTAAGGAACCTTGTTATGCATTGATTCCATTTGATTTTTGTCTAGTCTGTGTCCCGAATGTCTTCGATTTAAATCCAACACCATGAGAGTCACACCGGCTTGGTGCCAGATTTCTGATCGACTTGTGTCATTCGGGTATGATTGTGAATCTTTAACATCTTTGATAAACTAGGTTCTTGGTCCCAGATAGTGTGGTGCTTAAGCAGATTCGATATCCGTGTGAGAATTGAACCGTTGTGACTGAGTTGATAGGCAGCATACTGAATAAAAATCACTAAAATAAACTGATCATGTTGACAACGATTCGTACAATGCTCACAACAATTTGCAGATAAAAAGCTTCCAAATTCCAAATTTGTCATTTCCCATGATCATGACCTTTTGTGTCAAGCCAACAATTGCAATCTATAAGCATGAACTTCATCAAATACAAAAATATCAATCCTTATAATCAGTAATTAACATATTGACATTACAGCTTGATCTCCAAGACATTGAATTTCATCTAATCCTGATGTCACTCATGACTTAACATTTTAAAACTAAAAGACATCCTCTGAAGGTCAAAAAATGTGCAAATTCCTTCATAAGATTGATGAGATGTTCAAGGCATTGTAAAAATTTGATGGATTTGAAACACGGTCGTAAAAATTTGTGTCCGTATTTAATAAATTTTGTATTCTTTACAAATGGAAACAAGATTTTTTTTTAATTTTCAGTATCTCAATTGGGCACCTGGAACGACATGTATCCAATGACAAATTACACAAGCAGTAAATTTTGCAAAGAAAAACGAGACATCCATTTTAAATCTCAGATATTTATTCTCAAGATTTATCTTGCTGCCTCTCTTTTAATTCTTTCCGAAAATAGCAGAATAATAAATGAAGTGTCGAGCCCACCAGCACAGTGAAGGGCGGAGTGGCCTTAAATTTCCATCTACAATTCCATGCACAGTTGTGTTACAGGAGAGAATTACATTTCACTCCTTAGGCATGATGTCACTACTAGAATTACGACTTATAAGAAATTATTCAGCTTGCGAATCAAACAATAGTTCTTTATCCACAACAACGAGTGTTCATTAAACTTTCAGTTTGAAAATAAAAAGAACCTTGAAATGTTTCGACTACCCTGACATCGAACATTTACCTCATTTGGTATGCTTGCGTTTATTTTTATGTGTGTGCCTTACCTTTTCTTTAAATACTGCAGCTCTCTATTGTGTACCCGGCAAATAGAGTAGTAATAATTAAAGAAAGGAAGGTAAAGCTGAAAAAAATCGTTTCAATGTCGATGAAGTCAGTCGATTTTCATTCGAAAATATTGACTTCATTTTTTAATTCATTGCAAGGCAGATGCGTTTGGAATTCTTGCTTCATACACACCGATTGCTGATGATTTTTGATGCTTATGAGCAATAAAACTTAAAGTACGATTTAAATAAGCATACATTTGACATTATTAATTTTGCTGATACATATGCTTCTCTCTAAACAAATCCAAGATTTGAAACCTTCAAGGTATCAATAAAAGCTGCTGTAAAAACAAAATATATTAAAAAGTGACACTTATAATAATTTAACGGTTTAAAAAGATTCAAAACTCTAACGGTTAAGAAAAATTTGAATTTCAGTATGCATTGAAATATAAGTTTATTTTTTTTTCAATTTTTTTCAGTCTGATTTGTCGATCGTAAAAATTCGTCGTGAAAAGTTTGTGCGCGAAAATTAAAGTTAAAATGCAGTTCAAAGTGATAATTGATACTTGTAGAAGCACAGAAATATAAAAGATGAGCTTTAAGACACGGTAAATATTTAAGAAGTTGATACAAAAATTTCAAGACGAATTCTTATTTATGAATTTTTCGTTTTTATCTGTTTGCATCAGCTTGTATCAGAAGTGTTCCGAGAATCCTAAAAGTTCCAAATCATGCAGGTGAGTTGCTGTAAAGCTAAGCTTTAAAAGTTCGTACTAATTCTATCAAATCTTGGTTACTGTGGTTATCATAATTTAAAAGTTCAGACTTTATTTTATTCTCGTCCTTTACATAAACTTAAAGAACTCTTTCTCTTATGATCTTTCTGAAATTTTACTTATTCTGCACAAAACAGAATTCGAATTGTTTAAGACATTGCTGAGAAAATTGCAAAATACGCTTTCTGTAAGCAAGCAAACAAGTAGGAACAGTTATTCTTTCTTAAAAAGCAAAAATCTACCTTTCTTACTAATTTCGGATACTAAAGTTGAAACCTTAAACAACAGTTTTGCAAATTGCATGGACTTGTTATTTAAATACTTCGTCAAAAATTCACTGAAGTCCATCAAACAATAATACGAGGGAGGGACTGGGATTTATTAATAGCTCGAATGGGATTGGATTGAAAAGTCGTTTTTTTTTTGCTTAACGTTAAAAGTGAACGAACCTATAAGAACACAAAATAATAAATTTTAATTCATCGATTAATTAAGTCTGATTTTATTATTCGTAATGTTTTCGTGTTTTTAATAACAAATAAAAATTTAAAAAATATAAAAATTAAATTTTCTTATAAATCTCAATGAAATTAATAAGTTATAAGGAATTTTTTTTTATGGCCGAAAATATTTTAAAGCTTATTTAATGACCAATTTTTTACATACATATTAAAGCTACAGTTTATTGAATGATTAATTAGATAGAACTGTATTGTAAATTTACGGAATATTTTGAGCATATGCGGTGCTTATTTTGAAAATATGGATTATTATTTATCATTTAAGATTTTTCAATGCAAGCTGTAGCTTTTAAGTTATAAAAATTAATGAGAATCATTTTCCAGTAGAAGCTATAATTCAAGTAAATTTTTGATGGTTCTAAATTATTATGAAAAGTTTTAATGGAGGCAGATTCAGTTTTACGGAGCATAGAAAAAATATTAAGATCTAGTATGGAACCAACATTCTCATCATCATTATTATAATACATTAAGTTGTTACATCCTGTTACTCTTAATCTGTTAATACCTAGAACTACCTCGATCGGAATATTTTCCACTTATTTTACTGACTGAATAACCGTCTGGATCGGTTTTATAGTCAATCTCGTGAGGCGTGTAGCCAATATTCTTCTGCCAATGCTTTGTCCAATGCAAGTCTTCATTTTTAAGTTGCGAAGGCGTCTTAACATCTCTGCATACAATCACACAATAAATCATCGAGCCGATGAGTGTTGCGAAGCCAAATATGAGGAAGACTATTCCAAGAATCCTGTTGTAGACGATACGGAAGAATTTAATATTAAAAATTCAGAATGTGAAATGAAATTTATTGTGAGATAAAAGAATGTAGGAACTGAACTTACCAAACAAAGAGAGGCTCAACAAACTGAATGACAATGACGAAGCCAAGCGTGATAAGAATAAGTCCAAGATTGATGAGTAACATGAGACAACAAACTCCTCGTAAATTTGGACAGAAGGGATTTGGAGCAGACATTGCTTCAACCTTTGCTCCCATTCGTCTTGATGTATGACTTCGTCCCGTACGATTACTTTTACGACTACTTGCAACTGAATATACACTCTGTGGCTTAGTATAATGTGTCCGATGAGGCATCGAGTAACGACTTATTTCTGAAGGCGTCTTATATGCTGCACTTGTCACATAAATATCTCCTGTCTCACCACCATGATCATAGCTTAATGCTGATGGTGCGCGTGGTGGTTGACGCGTTGGAGGACTAGAAAGTGATCGTGGACCTTCTGAATAGATTCCATTATGACTAATTCCATTTTTTGCTGATCGTTCCATCGTTCGAGACTTCCTTGATGGTGGTTTAGGCGGTGAAGTTCTCTCATTTGTGATTGTATATTCTGATAAAGTTCGTTCTGATGGTGCTCGACTGTCATCACCATCAGAAAAATATGCTCGATTTGTTGATCCATAAGGCGGTGATGGACTGTTATGTGTTGCAATGTAATGTCCTTTTCTGACTTTACGTGCTGATCGCTCAAGGCTCTTCATCTTAATAAATCGATGCCCTTTTTAAGTATTCAGGAAACTCTATGATGATTGAATAATCCAAGATAACTTTTTTGTTGCCTTTTACACTTCCATAATTTACAGTTGACTACGGTGTCTGTGGAATGAAAGAGTAAATTTTAGTAATTTAATCAGCAATCAGTGGCTATTTAAATATTTCATGTTCATTTATTTCATTTCCGCGTATTTGACTCTACAACAATAGAAATGCACACAATTTTGAACAAAGCGCAGCTTCAATGGCACAACGATGGTGTTTATTAAGCTATTAATAAATGTCATTATTATTAGAGTGCTACGCCTACAAGCTGCCTGCGGTATGAAAATATTATTATTATTATTTTCAATAAAAGAAGGCAAAAAGAAAAAAACTTTAAGATAATATGAATAATTAATTTAATATTGCTCTTTAATTCATTCATCTTGCATGTTTTCTGCCTCAATTTTATAGTGCTCTCAATTAATAAGATTAATGTAGTTTGTTGTATTTTTTTATTACCTACTTAGACGATAAAATAATAATTTTTACACAAGTTAATTAAATTTAAAATTATTAATGTTGTAAAACAAATCCGAGAAACTCTCTGTCGGAAAAGAAGTGAACATTTGCATCTGCAGAATGGATGTAATGGCTTGAAGAGCAATCAAATTAGTTGGAAATGTTTGTATTAAGAGAAAGGAAGGAAACCATAGTAATATTTTTGTATAAATAACACGTGGCTGATATGGGAATTGTGCAAAGGTAGTACTCAAGCTGTTCCGGTGCACAGTATGTGTCTCGAGTTGTATAATATTTTGGAATGCTGGTTTTAACTTGTATAATGGCGCATTTGCTGTATTTGAAATAGATTTGACTTAGTAACTTTTCACGAAACTAGCACGAAAGTTTTATAAGCTCAAATGCCCGACATCATTAATCTGCGAATTTCGATACCATTATAAAGTCAGACTTAAATTCTAACAAAGATCAGTATATTTATAAGAATAGAGTTTAGCACGGTTAGATGCATATATTGAGAAATCATCAAATTTGGTGTCATAAATCCAAAGTCGTCAAATTTGACCATTTCCAATCCTAGCAGAAATTTACTAGTAATTTCCTGGTAATTTACTAGATAACTTTCCATTTGCTACTTGCCATTTACTAGTCAAAATCCAAGTTCAAATCTTCGCCAAAGACCCGCATTTTCGCTTGCTAATTGACTAGTCAATTCGCTTACAATTTAACTAGTAATTTACTAGCAAATTTGTAAAAAAATTAAATGAATATAACCGTTGATTTCCACGTGTTCTTTTGATTTTTCTTATTTGTGTAAATTATTGTAAAAGTATTAGTGTGTACTTAGTTTAATTAATTAAAGTACACTAAAACTATAAAAAAAATAAAAGACTTATTTTAATTAAGTCGAACACTGATGAACGCCTATGACTCGCACGCAAACCTGAGGAAGATAAATAATTAATTGAAAGTCACATACAAATTTGGATCGAGCTTGTACAGGTGATTTCTGCGCGCTCTTGTGAAGTATATGGCAAATGCCAAATTGGGAACAAAATTTTTTATGATGCAAAAAATTCTTTTTTTGATGTTTTCGTAAGATTCGAACTTAAGCAGATTTGATCAAACATTTCACATAGTAATTTGCTATTAAATAGTAAGTGTAATTTTCTAACAGTAAGTTGTTTTAATAATAACTAGTAAGTTGCAAGTACTGGGGGTCCTCGATTTGAGGAGATTCGATTTGAACAGAAAATTTTTTACCCACCAAAATATTCGATTTGAGTAGATTTCTTCCTGTTTTCTTCGATTTGAATTGTTTACAAAACAAATATTTTTGATAAAAACATTTCAGAAAATATATTTAAACATAAATTTTTCTGCAATAAGCGTGAACTTATCATATTGATCGAAAAATCAATACTAAAGTTACAAAATTAAAGTAAAAATTTAAAAAATCGATATAAAATTAACGGTTTTAAAAAGTTCAAATTCAAAAACCCTACAAATTGTTCGGTTCAGACTACCGCCATTCCATTTTCGAAAACTTCGAAATTAATCTCGAAGTTTTCGAAATAGTTCAAATATTTTTTTTTCGTTATGCATAATGTAAACAAATAAATTCCTTGAGACATTTTAAACAATAAAATCAGTTAAAAAAGTAATTAATAAATACAAAAATGAGCAAGTGCACAGTCTTTAATTGTGAAAACAAACGAAAGGATGGAAAAGCATTATTTCGAATGCCTTTAAAACCTTCTCCAATATGTCTTTCGTTTTGCTACAAAATTAAATTTATTTAAAGACAATGAGATTCAGTTGAAAGAAACCACTCCGCATCCCAAATTAAATCATCGTTTAAAGCAGCAGTGAAAGAAATTCCAACTATTTTTAATCACTGCATTTTGATATTTGAAGACTTTTTAAAGGATTTTTTAAATTTTAGATTGAAATTGTCTCATCAGAAACGTTTTTTAAATCAAAAGGAGCTGTTTGCATCAAAGTTTAAATAAATAATCTGATTTAGCTTTCCATGATTTCAACTGTAATTTTGTTTTTGAATTCAAACGGTCATTTTTTTTTGAATCATACCAACTTTTTTTTGTCCATTTTTCAAAAAATAACGGTCATTTTCGGAATGGCGGTAGTCTGGTTCGGTTAAATAACATTTGCAAGGATCTCATATTTTTGTTTTGTTTCAAAAACATATTTTTTGTGAATTTCTGTTTAAAAACAATATGAATATGCGTTGAAATAAATTAAGTTATCTAAAACACATAGAAAAAGTTAAGAAACGAGGTAAAATGTGCAAAAAATTATCAAAATTTTCATTGTTTTGATACATTTTTTGGACTCTGGAACAAAACATGTGATTTTGTATAGGTTCTTTGCCTCGATTTGAATAGATTCGATTTGAGTAGAAATTTTTTGGAACAAAACAACTACTCAAATCGAGGACCCCCAGTAGAAGAATAGAAAGACTAGCAATTTTCTAGGGCAAATTTACTTAGACTTCGTATTGTGCGAGATTTTGTCTAATTAATGTTAGATTAAGGAACGGGTCAGGAACAAGAAGTTACTAGCAATATTATTTAATTCCTTTTTGTACCTTTGTTTAAAGTCTAATTCACCTCGAACCTGTCACTTAATCTCCCCGGAGTCTTTAAAAACCAACAAACTAATTTTCACAGCACATGCACTGCATCTGGCAGTCTTGTTTTAATCCCATTGTAGTGTCACTTTTATCTACTCACAACAGGGGTACATCATTACACGGTTATTTAGCAGTTCAAATAAATTTGCATAAAATTGAAAGTTTTTTTTTCCTCCTTTTATTCTCAGTAAATAAATAACAGAGCAGCACAAAATATGCAAAAGAATTCTTGAAAGTGAAAACAGTAACCGTAACAATTTTTTTTTCATGCAGTTTTATTTTACCTTAGTTATGTTAAGTAGGAGGAGAAAACAAAGTTATTTGAGTGTAGTTTTTGGGGAGTCAGAGGGCAAAAGAAAGCGTTTTTATTGAATTTTAATGAAAACTAAGTGATTTCTCGTCGTAATAAAGGAAAGCTTCTCGAGACGATTAAGTTGTTAGAAAGACAAAAACGTGAGCCTTATTATCATTTATGCAGGCTTAGCAATCAAATTGAATATTTTTTTTACCTGTTGGCAAGTGATCTGATGACTTTGGATTTCCATAAAATGTTGCAAATTTTATAGAGGAATTTTTGTTTAGGAGAAATTGAAATTAAAGTTTCTAAATTTTGAGCAGTAAAATCATTGGACTTGATTTTATGCAACTTTAGAAAAATTAGTGAAACTACAAAGCTATAACAAAATTAAGAGGTATTAACAAATCCAAAATCATCTTATTTTCATCACAAAAATGATATTAAGCTTTATCTGATCATCTCAATTCAATGCATGATTACAAAACTCACTACATTGTTGCATTAATGATAATCTTTACTTTAAAATCAAAAGACATTATTTCATTCATTAAAGTCAATATATTTACGTAATCTTATCGAAATCATAAATTTTATTGCATTTTAAGCAGGGGTTTAAGTCAATTAAAACTTTTTCGACTTTTATTCAAACTTTGACAATTTTTTTCAAAAATTCTTAATCGAAAAATTTTTCAGCAAAATTTTTAATCAAACTTTAGTTGAAAAATTGTTCTGAAAAAATTTTTGCTCATTCTTTTTTGTTGATTGAAAAAATTTCGATCGTAAGTAAATAATTATCAATGAAAATTCAACTAAATGTCCAAACTCATTTTTTTGTGAACATTAAAACGGAAAAAGGATCATTTTAAGCAAAAAAAATCGTTGCATTTTGATTGAAAATTTTTCAAATAACTAATCGAAAAATGTTCAACGAAAAAACTTTGATCAAAGTTTATTTGTAAAATGATTAACGACAATTTTAGCAGAAACTTTTGCTCAAGTAAACTTTGATTAAAATTTTTTTGAATTTTTTTGTTCATTTCGTTCAACTTAAACCCCTGATTTTAAACATTGGAAAGATAATTTTCATTATGTATGGCTCTTAAGATAAACAATCATATTAATTCTCTTTTTCCTGCTGAGATGCAGTGAATTAACAAGTTAAACAAGTCTAAGCTCTACCTTCTTAGTTGTAGGGTTGAGCTCTAATCGTTCTGATGAACTTACTCTGGAATTTTAGCAAGATTCATATTTAAAATTGTCGGTTACTCAAAATTACCACCTTCGTTCTCATCTCCCATCTAACCTATCTACATGCTTAGTCACGATCTAATTAAATGTTCTACCAAATTTCAAAGAATTCCGCATTCTGCCTTAACAATACGTTAGAACCTAACCTAACAATTCCAATAATTTTAACAATATGCCATCAATTCAAGAGTCATGTCGAAAATTCACACTCACTTTCAAATTATTAACACATTCAGTAAAAGTCTATGTCTAAGAAAAATCATAACAAAAGAACCGAACAATTCCAATAGATCCCGACTAGACAATTCTTATTTATAATTCTTCTACATTCTTTATTCTCTTTCCGCATCTTAATAACATAAAAAATGAACGCGAAATTGTATGATTATCTTGTTATTT